TCTGTCTCTTTGAATGACAAAGTTCTGTGTGGAGGTTAGTGACACTAGAATGTCCAGAGTGAGCAGCGATCAATGAATCTTTAATGATTCTCTTGTCAAATTTATTGCTGTAGTTTTTAATGTCTGAATAAAAAAGGGAGAGGCAAAAGTGAGGAAAATTCCACTCTTTTCTTTATTAGCAGACACTGCAACATCAGAGAGCGTACATAACAACCTGCAGACTTCAACACGTCAATCACATGGTAAAAAAAAAAACAATTTGCATGAAAAAAATTATATTTAATAAGCTGCCATTTTTAATTTTTAGATTTTTTTTTAAAGATACAGTGAAATATATCAGCTCTCTCAAATCTCTTCTTGAAGGTTATGATACCCACCTCCCCCCGTTAAGAATAATACACCAAAATCTAGGACAAATGTCTAAATAGCAAAGAAAATATACAAAGTCAAAAAAAGTAAACTTCCCCCAGCCATTTATAACCACTTTTTAAAACCTTAAAAACAAGTGTGAGGAAGGAGGATGAAGAGCATGCGGAAACACTTTAAGAAAACACTCCAAACTCTAGAGGCAGATATGATTTTTCTAGACCAAATAAGTTATCAATAACAATAAATGGCATTTAAAAATACCTTTAGTGTGGCATTCTTGCAGAAACAATCGCTGCAGATCTACAGGGTGCTCAGCATTTAGCTTAATTTTGTGCTAAAAAACCTGTGCTGATACTTATAAAACCATTGATAAAAATATTTCTCTGTGAACAATATGCCTTGGAGGTTGGGCAATGACACAACACTAGGAGTGACGGGGAGCTGTGATGACAGTGTTGATGGGAGGCAATAGTGCTACTCAGATTTCACTTCCTTCGTTGCTTTTTGAGTCTTTGTGACCTGAGGACGGATTGAGAGGAAGAAATCATCAAGAATAATGCATTTTTCATTTCAAAAGATATGAAGAACATCCTAGTGTAACAGTATTTCAATGATTTTATTCCACACAAAATGAAAGTAAAATATGTTCTATGGAAAGTCTAAAGTGCAGTGAGATTATAACACACCGCTTTGGTCTTGGCCTCTCAATTTTCGGAGTGGTTCTCCTCGCTGGCTGCAGACTCTGAGCTCTCCTTGGCCTTCACCTTGGTCTTTTTATCCTCCTTTTTGACATTAGCTGCTTTGTCTTTCTACAGAGGAAGTGAATCATTGGCAGCAATGCGTTAAGACAGAATATTTGCACATGTGTAAACTCACAATAACAGTACTTTGAATGCTGTAGCACAGAAACAATTTGTTTATTGTACATGGTGCATGTTTATATATATGCCTATTGTGATTTTGCCTGTGAATATGCTGCAAAGTCACATTGCCTACGGGGATATATTGACTAAGTAACTAACATTGTTCTAATATTAAAGTTTTATTGCTGGTTTGTTAGGTATCTGGTAGTATTTACCTTAGTTGTCTTTTTTGGTTTGGGTTCAGCCTTCACATAAGCTGGTCTCTGTGAAGGAAAAACACAGCTGAGAAGTAAAACATACTTCATATATGATGAGACACTGTTCAACTGATATTATAAGACAAAGACAGAAAATGGGAATCATAAATAAAATTGATAACAAAATTCCAGTATTGAGTGTATTTACTGTATTTTCCACAGTAAGCTTTCATTTTTAAAACTTGAATTGACATTTTCATTAATGATTTATACATTTATATTAGATTTGGTGGGGAATTTTAGATATACATGATTCCTGTAACCAGTCTATTTAGCAAACTTTTTTAAACACACACACACACACACACACACTCTCTCTCTCTCACACA